AAATAGGCTGGATATAACTTTTTTTTGAGATGGGGTCTCGCTATGTTGCCCGGACTAGCCTCAAAATCACCATTCTCTTGGCGCAGTCTACTGAGTAGCAGGGACTACAGGCGCATGGCACCACAACTAGCTTTGGATGTAACTCTCCTATTTCAGGGCATCCAGTTATTGCTGTGTAATTCTTCCTCCACCTCTACTATCCTGCTGGCCAAATTGTAGGGACTTGGCTACAGGTTTTCCAACAAAGTAATCAAAAGAATGAGGGTTACTTTTCCTCCCATCTGTTGGATTCATTCTAGAACCCTAATGCAACAGGCAAGGGGGCTCCCACCCTCCTGCTCAGCAGGCGCCTAAAGTCAGGAGAACGCCGCGCCCTCCCCCTCGTGTCCAACACACCTTGAGAATCTCATCTCCAACAATGATGATGCCCGCTGTCACGATGCGCCCCTGGGGAAGTTCCGAGGTCCCAGATGCCATCGTCCTGCCTTTGCCCCTCTGCAAGGCCCTCCGGGAGCCACCCAGACCCCTAGACAGGGGCCGCAAGCCCAGGGCCCCCGCCAGGTCTACTGGGCATTGAGGGCCATAGCCTGGGAACAGGGTCGAGGGGACCTGAAGAAACCAGAAAGGACAATGGAGGAGGGCACGTTCCTCCTTGGAGGAAGACTTAGTCTTTTCTAACCAGACCCTGCACAAGGGACTCCTTTATTACTGTCTCTTTAATACAACTTTCTTCTCAAGTCCCAGCCCACGCTCTCATAAGTATTTTTTGTTTGTCTGCTTTTCTGCGGTGCTAGGGATCCATCCCACGGCCTCACATATGCAAGGTAAGCGCTGTACCACTGAGCTACACCCCTAGCCCCTATGTCTTCTAAGCTTGGTTCTAGTCTTCCTAAATAGTCTGCTTCCCCATGAACCTACCACTTTCAATGTCTTCTATCTGTCGATGCGATCTTCTCAAGAGTTTGCTCTATCTTGGGCATTTGCACCTTTAAGTGTCTCTTCTCTTCGGAACCTGTACTTTTAAATGCCCACCTGATCCCGGGGCTTGGCCCCTTTAAACGTGCTCCGCCCTCCCTGTCGGACGAGAGCCCAGTCGCCTTCCTCTGCACCCTTTCTAGCCCGGTATCCCTTCTTCTGCCAAGCTCCACGCATGAGCTCTTCCAAGCTCTCACCTGCCTAATTTGTCCCTCCACCGAGTCTTTCCTTTCCTCACGTCCTGGGACAGCTTCCGTACTCAAAGTCCCACCTTACTCGTACCACCCTCGTATTGATTGATTATTTTGGCTGTCGCTTAGATTCTTTCCGAAGGCTCTATTGGTGTAGCCGACTGTCGCTCTTGGGCTTTGTCCTCCAGGCCCGAGAACTGCTTCGTTGTTATAGGCAACAACCACATGGTTACCCCTCGGCCCGGAAATGTGGGGGCGGGCTTTGTGCTTGTGGGCGGGCCGAAGGAGGTTTGGGGCGCAGAAGGCGCTCTAGGAGGGAGGTGCGCTGAGGTGTTGAGTTGCCGCCTTCTAACGCTGAAGCAGAGGGAGCCTCGATTCTAGCTTCCGCAGTTTTTCAGTTCTTGTAGGCCTATGTTGTTTGTATTAACTATGACTAAAGTTTAGGTTAAGGAGTCAAGGGCTGGTATTGGCGCCAGAGGAATTTAATTAATTTCGTTTTTGGACTACGGAATAAACCCAGGGCCCCGTGCACGCTAGGCAAACGCTCTACCATTGAGTTACAGTTCCACCCTAGTTATTTACTGACGTGGGGTGTCGCATACTACGCTGCCTGGTTGGTCCTGACTTTAAGCGATCCCCTAACCCTCCCTCCCCCTGCCCTGTAGATGGACCTACAGGCGTAGCGAAGCAGCAGGCCTTTCTTTTTCTTTTTTTCTTTCTTTCTTTCTTTCTTTCTTTCTTTCTTTCTTTCTTTCTTTTTCTTTCTTTCTTTCTTTCTTTCTTTCTTTCTTTCTTTCTTTCTCTTTCTTTTCTTTCTTTCTCTTTCTTTCTCTCCTACTTTCTTTTCTCTTCCTTCCTTCCTTCCTTCCTTCCTTCCTTCCTTCCTTCCTTCCTTCCTTCTTTCCTTCCGTCTGTGTTTTTGAGAAAGTCTCGCTATGCAGTGCAGGCTGGCCCTGAGCTCACTTTGTAGCCCAGACTAGTCTTGAACTCACAACGATCCTCCTGCCTCAGCCTCCTGAGTGCTGGGATTACAGGCATGCACCACCACGCCCGGCTTCTCTCTTCCTCTTCTAGAAGGAAGTTGGAGGGAGATAAAATGTTTATCAGCATCACCTGTGGGGAAGGAATTTTTTTTTTGCTATTAAAATAGTTTATTGCACAATAGTGAACACATTCAAACAACCAGACATATTTGTGTATTTTAGCTTTTTTAGGAGGTAGAAAATTTTGAAAAATTTTCCAGATACTGAATGGTGCCCATTTGAAAAAATGAAGAATATAATTTTTACTTAAATTGTTACTTTTTTTTTGAGACAGGGTCTCACTATGCAGTTCAGACTGGCCTTGAGGGGCTGGGGATTTAGCTCAGTGGCACAGCGCCTGCCTGGCAAGCGTGAGGTCGTCAGTTCAATTCCCGCTACTGGAAAAAAAAACAACCAAAAAACAACAAAAAAAACCCAGACTGGCCTTGAGCTCACTCTGTAGCCCAGGTTGGTCTCGAATTCGCAACGATACTCCTGCCTCAGCCTCCTGAGTGCTAGGATTACAGGCGTGTGCCACCATGCCTGGCTAAGGAATTTCTTGGAATAGGTCAGCTGTTAATGTGTAGAACCTTCATTTGTCTCTAGTTTAAATTAAAACGATCAAATTACTTAAATATCTTTGACAGATAAATTTAAAAACAAAAACCTTCCTTTAGCTGGGTGTGGTGGTGAACACCTGTGATCCCAGCACTCTGGGAAGTTAAGGCTGGAGGATCACAAACTTGAGCCCAGTTTGGACAATTAAACTAGACACTGTCAATAAATAAATTTTTAAAAATATAATTGTTTAAAGAGGGTTGGGGGTGTGGCACAGTGTGAAGTCCCCTGGGCTCAATCCTCAGTACCACACAAACAACTCCACCTCCTTTGAGCCACCTGGCTCCAGGTGATGCTTGTTCAAACACCTCTCAATCACTGATCTTGTAAGGAGAGACAGTTAAGTAGGGAGCGCATCGTGTGTTGGCTTTGGATTCCCACATCATCCTTTCCCCCCATCATCCTAATCATCCTGGTTTACTCTCATTTCAATTGTCTTTCATCTAAAAGTGCCTTTGGGGGTGGGTGGGGGTGTGCTAGGTGAAAAAATGCTTGTTGACTTTTAATTTTGTTGTTTTGGGACAGTCTTACTGTGTAGTTCAGGCTGGCCAGAAACTCAAGATTCTCCTGCCTCAGTCTCCCAAATACTGGGATTACAGGCATGTGCCACTTTACCTAGCTGAACTTTAATTTTTTTTTTTTTCTTTTTTTTTTGTCTTTTTGAGACAGGGTCTCAATATGCAGCTCAGGCTGGCCTTGAGCTCACTCTGTAGCCCAAGCTGGTCTTGAACTCTCAACAATCCTCCTGCCTCAGCCTCTCAAGTGCTGGAATTACAGACATGCACCACCACACCCAGTTTGAATTTTAATTTTATACTAAATCTTCAGGGCCTTTTTTTGGTGTGTATATTTGCTTTGAGACCAGATCTTGTTGTTAGTTTACACTGGCCTCCAACTATGGATCCTCATCGTATTGTACAAAATCCTACAAGAGAAACATCATGCTTAGAAAAATGAAGGGATACCCCATAACCTTATAACATAAAAAAGCATCAGCCGTAGCTGGATCCTTTATAATTCCAGCATTCTGAGAGGCCAAAGCAGGAGGAACCCAAAATCAAGCCCAGCATTGATAATTTATCGAGATCCTGTATCAAAAAAAGGGCTGAGACTGTAGCTCCATGTGAAGGTCCTGGGTTTAATCTCTAGTTCCTAGGAGGAAACTACACCCACCACACCCATGGGCTCTAAAAGCACTCACTCTATAGTTGTCCTTTTTTTTTTTTTCATACCGGGAATCGAACTCACGACCTCACGCTTGTCAGGCAGGCACTGTGCCGCTGAGCTAAATCCCCAGCCCAAAATCTTTGTTTTAATAAAGATCATATTTGACTCCCTCTCAGAACAACTCTGCTCCAATCCTTTACCACAGTAGTATTCTCAAACTTAAGGGTACAGCAGAACCACTTGGAAATCTTGTTACTAATATATTGCTGGGTCCACCCCTCAGTTTATTTCAACACGTCTAAGGATGGAGGATAAGAATTTGCATTTCTTCCGGGTGTGGTAATGCATATGTGTAATCCCAGCACTTGGGAGGCTGAGGCAGAAGGATCGGTGCAAGCTCAAGACCAGCCTGGGCTACAAAGTGAGCTCAAGTTCAGCCTGAACTGCATAGCGAGACCTTGTCTCAAAGAGATCAAAAAAACAAAAAAACAAAAAAAAAAAAAGAATTTGCATTTCTAGTAAGTTTTCAGGTGATGTTGATGCCTCTTGATCCAAGTATGACACCCAAAGAACTCTTCTAGGAATAAGTAGATAGAAGACAGGAAAAAAGGATTCGTCTCCCTTTGTACTAGTTTTTAATCTATTACTTGGTGAAATGTTAAGGATCTACAGTTTACTTTTAAGTAGATCCTCTTACAGATCTACTTTTTTTTTTCTCCCCAAGATAGTCTTGCTATGTAGCCAGGCTGGCCTTGAGCTGGAGCTCCTCCCGCCTCTACTGGGATGACAGGTGTGTGCAACCATACCCAATTTACACTTGTCTCTCAGAGCTTGGTACTATAACTAGCTGCACAGGAATATTTGAAATTGGTATACCCAGCCTATGCTCCCTACTAAGTCAGAATCCCTTGGAATGAGTTGTGGGTACCAGTAGTTGAAAAGCTGCCCAGCTGATTCCACTGCGCAACCAAAATTGATTAGTGAAACTGACACCCTACCAACAGGCACAGTGAACACGTCAAGGGTGTGGTGGTTGTAGGCAGACAAGAAGCATCCTCTGGCTGACAGCCTCCTCCCTAAATCCTTGTTGCCCTCAAATGTGAATGTGAAAGGCAGCACCCCTCACTGCAGGAGACACTCATGTGTTCATGAAATGAAGCTACCCTTATGTAACCTTGACGTCAGGCTAGTAATTACGGCGAACGGTATTTCAGTATGGGTTTGACAGCAAGTCTGTTTAAAGATTAAAAGCCAGAGCTGGGGATGGTGGCACGTATCTATAATCTCTATTCTGGAAGGCTGAGGTAGAAGGATCACAAATTTGAGCCCAGCTTGGTTAATTTAGCAATTTAGTGAGATAACTCAAAATTAAAAAAAAAATTTTTTTTTTTGAGATGGGGTCTTGCTATGTAGTCCAGCGTGGCCTTGAACTTTTAGTGTTCCTCCAGCCTCAGCCTCCAAATGCTGGGATTATACCCATGCCCAGCTTAAAAAAAAAAAAAAAGTTAAAAAGGGCTGGAGATGTAACTCAGTGGGAAGCCCTTGGTTCAATCCCTACTATCAAAAAACCAAACCAAAAAAATCCAAAAACCAACCGAGTTTAAATAAACTACCTTATCCCAAACAGCTCAGTTTCATTATCAAACCGAAGGGCATATAATTAGAACAATACTGAAAGTGAGGGTCACCTTGTAAGTGGGGGGGAAAAATCCTTACAATCACAGAATCAGATTATAAAAACTTCTTTAATCAAGGCTTTAACATGGAACAGATTTCTCAAATAAAATGGAAACAAATCCATAAATCAGCATACAGTACATATAATACCCAGCAGAAAAACACAAAACAGCAAGTTTACACAATCCCCATAAAAGCCATGGTCTGCTTCTCAGATGTTTCTTCCACCTGTCAAGTGTGTTCTGCTGGAAAGAGAGCACACCGTGGCTTCCAGGGTCACACTCAACTGAGCCTGCAGCCCACAGAGACTCACAAGACAGGGCTGTGGTGGCGGTGGCTCTATTTAAGAAGGCAGTCATCAGCACATTCAAACAGTGTATTGAATATCCTTTAAATATCAAAGTGAGAAATAAGAAGGCAACATAATCGTATTATCAGAAAGATGTCAGACAGGAAGGACAGCTGTCTAAAGCTTGAGGCAGAAAGACCATTTTCCAGCTTCATTGGTTTGGCTTCTTGGGTAGTGGCCGTCGGAACAGCAAGATGTGAGGTTCTGAAAGAGCGAGGGAAATGTAAGTGAAGTTCACATCATTCTATGGACAACATGTAGTGTATCCCGCTGCCCTGCCCAGCTATCACTCACTCCGATCTTTATAACTGAGTTACGATGTAAGCATATGGCCGTAGAAGCAGACCCCGTCTGCCAAGTACAGAACTGTTAGTATCAGCTCTTTTGCTGTGTTGCTACAGCCCTGGAGAGTGCTTTATTAGTTTTGCCTGGCAGCCGGGTGTCTGGTGTCTTATCAAGGAATATAATTTCCTTTGCTTATTTGGAACACATCCAAGAATTTGCCTTCTGATGGCAAACAAAGCTGGGGCTATAATCAGGGTTAAAAAAGTGTACTCTCTGGCTAAACTGAAAATTACAAGAGGTTTTTCAGTAATAGATTATCCTTGAACTTCCCAGACATTTTACTTTTATTTTTGGTTATTCTTGTCTGTTTAGATAGCAGGTATATGGGGGAACGGGGAGAACCCAGTAAATCATTTCCTCTTACCCATCTATTGTTTCGGGTTATGCAATCTTATTCCTTCATTCCTCAGTGTAGCAATGCTACCAGTATTGGCTTTTAGCTGTTACACTGACCTGGTTCATGGATCATGTAATGGACCCATCCTTGACTCTGCTGAACACCAAGATTCCTCCATTCAGATTCAGACATCAAGTGGGTTTTAGGAACCAGCTTGGCTATATCCTTGGGCAACATGACATGCCTGTAACAGAAACATGGGAAGGTGGGGAGTGTCTATCAGTACTGGGTACCATTCACACACAAGTGCCTGTGTCAAAGCCGAGCAAAGTTACACCTTCTGGGGGATGGAAATTAGTTTCTGATGTCAGGGAGTATACATAATCTTACCATGGAGTAGAGGCAGCTAGAAATACAAGCCAAATTATGTAAATTCTTACAAACATATTAAAAAGTACAAATTAATGAATAATCCCAATGTAGGTGCTCAAGCTCCAAGCACTGTTGATATGTTTGTCTGTCCTTATGGGCCTCAGAGTTCTGGTGGAATTTACAGAATTCTGTGGATTACCCACAATACAATGGAAGCCCCAAGAAGCACATAGTGAGCATATAGCTAGAGGTAAATTTTAAATAGGATTAGTAAGAAAAGGAGAGAGCCAGGTGTGGTGGTCCACGCCTGTAATCCCAGCACTAGGGAGGCTGAGGCAGGAGGATTTCGAGTTCATGGCCAGCCTGGGCTACAAAGTGACTTCAAGACCAGCCTGAACCGCACACTGAGACCCTGTCTCAAACATACACACACACACACAAAGGTTTTTTTTGAGACAGAGTTTTGCTATGTAGCCCAGGCTGGCCTCAAACTCACCGAAATCCTCCTGCCTCACCCTCCTGAGTGCTGGGATTACAGGCGTGGCCCACCATGCCTGGGGAGAGAAGTTATTTTGTGGAGCAGAAGGGCTTGTTATGGAATGCTGTGTGGAAGACTCGCTATAAAGGATGATAAGTAAATATCTACCCTGAATCCCACTCTCCTAACTCTGAAGGGATGTACCATGAGACTTGGGAAATTCTGCACTCTCCTAACCAAGGGTGTCTTTCTTCATGGCAAAGAAACGATTACTGTCCCTTGAGTTAGATTAATGCAGATAGACTTCATCATGCTCAATGAAAATGTACTAAATGCTCCTTCTATGCTGTTAACAAGAGGATTTTTTTCCCTCAGAAAGATAACTGCAGTCTAAATTGCTGAAAATAGCTGAATTATAATAAGCCCTCCACACAAAATTTTTCTTGAACACATTGAAAAAAAAAACCCTCTTAAACCAACTTGATATTGGTAAGGTGAGTTACACTTTCTAGAGGATGAAACTAGTGATTCCTCCTTAGTTGTTCACATGTCGTAAGCATGTATTTCTAGGTAGCAGTTCAGCTGCAGAGGAAAAAGCCGAGGATAAGAAAGTTAATTGTTATACTGGCAAAAAGAAGGGTATGTGTTTGTCACCACACACCAAGTTACCCAGACTCTAAACTAGGTTGCCCAAAACTCAGAACTGGGTTGGAAGAGACACAGAAAAACAAATCTCCATTTTGTTTTCCAGTAGAGGAGATAAGATACAAATGAGGAAGTTGTCTTAAGCATTACAATGAATACAGAGTCACAGAATGACAGCATCTGCAGAATCCTTCGTTTTCCCTTAGTTTCCAATTTAGTGGTTTTTTTTGGTTTTGTTTTTGGTACCGGGAATCGAACTCAGGACCTTTTACTTGCCAGGCAGGCGCCTGTACCACTGAGCTATATCCCCGGCCCTAATTTAGAGTAGTTACAGACTTAGAACTTATCAACTTCAAAAACTACATCCAGTGCGACGAACTTTTCTTCTCCATCCCTGATAGTTATCCACTATCTTCCCAACCATTTCAATCGAGAGGTGTTTTCTCTTCCTGACGTCTGTCTGGTTAGAGTTCAGCGCAGCCAGTCTCCTGTATAAGCTGCCCTAACCATCTTGCCCTTCTGGGCAAGTCCCTCCTGCCCAGCACACTCTGGTTTTTGTTTTTTGTCTTTTTGAAACAGGGTCTCGCTATGCAGTTCAGGCTGGCCTTGAGCACACTTTGTAGCTCAGGCTGGTCTCGAATTCGAAACTATCCTCCTGCCTCAGCCTCCCGAGCGCTGGGATTACAGGCGTGCGCCACCACGCCCTGCTACCCAGCATACACTGTACACAGCTCTCGTACAGCACGTGTCAACGCTCTTCTCAAGTCTGTCGGTATTTTCCACAGATTAAGTGTGAGAATAGCAGAACACCTGAAACCTATAACCACTCCATAATTGTTCCAGTATTTGAAAGGCAGCTACCGGGCCTATGCTGTCTTTTCTCAGGGTTCCTGGCCACCGATCAGTCCACTCCAGTTCCTCAAAACCCCTTCCTAAAACAAGCCAGACAACCACGCCCCTTTTCCACGAAGCAAAAAACAACACTCAAACTTTCTCAGAACCTCCCAAACATTGAGGACGATAATAAATTTCAGCTCCGCTTTTCCACCTCTCCCGCTCTGTAGGATTACTGCGATACTAGCAGTCTCCAGAAAGCAAGTTTAACCTACTCAATAAAATCTGAAAATGATTCAGAAACCCCTAAGGGTGGAGGTGGTCAGTGAAGTACTCCACATTTCAATCAACCAAAACCGACTTGAAATTCCACTTCATTGTTTTGGGATCGCCTCCCACCCTCCGCGCAAGCGCTTTATATTTTCCACTAATCTCCCACCCAAGTCGTTAGCTTCCCGCGCATGCGCCGATATTCTGTCGCCTTAGTCGCGGTTACTAACTCCTCTGCGCCCTCTTGTTAAGGCTCACGACCTCGCTATGGACCCTGCGCCGGCACTAACCTGTATTCAAACTCCTCGTCGTCGTATTTGTCCGAATAATAAATTTGTTTATGCGACATGTTCGCTCTCCCTGCAGGACTTCAGCCCCACACCACCAGCTTCCAAACAACTCCCAGCAGCAGGCGTCCCCACCCTCTTTGGCCTCGCTTTCAAACACACCGCCCGCACTTCTTATTGGGTCCTTTGGCGTAAGGCGGGACAGCTCCATTTTAAAGCCTCCGATTGGCTTATATTTGCTACTTCTTCAGTCCTTATTGGATTGTAGTTCTTACATTTCTCAAGAACCACCCTTGGGTCAAAAATAGGCTTCTTATTGGCTATTAATGCTCCTGTGTGAGTCCTCGCGCTGTCATTGGGTAGTTTGGGAAAGTAGGCGGGGCGAAGGAGGGACGTTGAGGTAGAGGGTCAGGGGTGAGTGAGGCCGGAAGTGAGTGTAATAAAGTTTCTCCAGGGAGGCCCGGCCCAGGGAGAAAGTTGGAGCGGGGATTTAATAAGGCGGAGGCGTGATCCGGAACCAGATCGGCCCGCGGTGCGGTGCGGAGACTCCATGAGGCCCTGGTGAGTCTTGATATTTTTTCTCCTTAGGCGACCCACTCCTCCACCCCGGAACCCCTCTCTCGGGACCCCACTTCCGGTCTTCATTGATAAGCCCCGCCTCTGAGACCCCCTTCCCGGAAGTCCCACCTTCCAACTTCAGGGGGCTTCCCAAACCCCGACTTGTCTTTTATTGTCGTGCGCCCGCCCTATTGCCTAGCTTTCCTGGAAGTTCCACCTCCAAACACGCTTCCAAGCCCTACTACAAGAAAGCCTTCCTTAGTGCTTCCCGTTGTCCGCACTGCGCCTCTTTTCAGGGATTCTCCGCTAACTCTGTCTGTCAAAAGTACAGCTTCCTAAGGTGCATAGCGTTGCCACCTCGAAGAACTACTCGGCTTCGCTCAGGCCCCGCCCCCCGAGGGGTCCCGCCTTCCCTGGGGCTCCGCCTCTTCCGTGATCCACGTCCGATTGTCCAAAAACCTGCCTGGTCTGGACGGCTGTACTGGTTTTAGGGGACCACGCCCCATTAGGAGGTTGATTTATCACTGCGGGACCCAGGCCATCACCTCAGAAGTCTTGTCCTCATTCGGCTGCGTACATTTTCTTGTCTTTTCTCTTTTTTGGCCCTTGAGCTCAGTTCTTTTGAGCTCTTGTGCACCACCAGATCGGAAGTTTTATAAGTTCCCATCTTTGGCTGTGAGGACAGCTTCGAAGCAGCCGTTTTCTTCTCTTTCACTCTCTTACTTGAGTAATGTAATTTTTTTTTTTTTTTCTGGTGCCGGTAATCGAACTCACGACCTCGCATTTGCTGGGCAGGCTTTGTGCCGCTGAACTATATCCCCGGCCCGTTCACCGTCTTACTTGAAAGGGTTCGGCACGAGAGTGAGAGAGAGACTTGGTTGGACATTCCCAGCCTCCCCGTTTCCCTTCCTAGCACCGACCCCACCCCAGAACAGCTGTGGTCGAACCTGCCCGTGGCTAGATAGGGCAGAGGACTTGTATGCCTTGTACACAGGAGAGTTTTCTCTCATCAGAAAACGGTGGTTTGGAGGCCGAAGCAGGGATTAGTGTTCCTTTTTTTTTTTGGACTTTTTGAGACAGGGTCTCACTCTTTAATCCCTCCCCTCAACCCCTCCTGTTCTCTGGCTCTTCCCCTTCCCCTAACCGGAGCTCTCCCTAGGCATTCATTCTGGCCTTGCTGGGAACATTCCTGAAGCTTTCGCCATTTCCTGCTACTTCCCGTTCCACTTGCCCCCTCCCTGCGGTGCTGAGAAACAGCACGTGCCCCCTTCCTCACCTGGTCTTCCAGTAGGAATCTCTTTTCTCCCTGTGCAGATATGAAGTCATACTTCCTTACTTCCACATGCCCACACCTGTTGGTCATTTCCTGCCTCTGGATACTGCAGGCACCCACGGTGCCATTTCTAAAGATGTGGGCATTGTGGTGTGTTTTTGTATGTGTTGGGAGTGTGAGGCTGGCAGAATCCTTCCTTAGTCTATGCCAGAGCTGAGGCCTTAGTAAGCGGGTAATAGAATTCCTTCTCAAGTGTGGGCTGCACTGACAAAGCTCTGCTGGATTGAAGACTAAGGGGAGGTGAAGTAGGCAAGGTCTTTAACACATTTTAGGTGTTACTATAATCACTATAATATAGATTAGTCCTCTGAAGTAACCTAAGGGTAGTTCAGAGGTGAACCTGGGAGATGTATCATTTACTTGTACTTTTCTCACTTTCCAACTTCCTGCGTGGCTTCCTCAAGCAGAGCTGTGGCAGGAAGCTGTGGATGGCGTGGTCTGGGGACTGTTACTTGGATCTAGTCTCAGCCCATCTTCTGGCACCCTTTCCTTCTGTCCTTACTGGCACAGACTTCTCCTGTGACCTCTCTTGTTTTTTGAAACATCGGCTTGCTGTGCCTCAGCCTCCCATGTTTTGGCTCACAGGCAACACCACCATGCCCAGCATGCTTTCTCTCGCTCTTACAGTTCTCTTCAGGAGCTTCCTTTCTTTCACCTTTCCTATCCAGACCTTACCCCTTATTGTGAAGGACACTGTCCTCTTTGGTGGGGCTGTGAATGTACCTGGTAGGTCTAGAAGGTTGACCTTAGAGTTAGTGCCCTGACCCCTCTTCCTCACCTGTGTTCTTGAAATGGAGTCTTGCAGTGTTGACCAGGCTGGTCTTGAACTCCTGAGTGCAAATGGTCTTCCAGCCTTAGCTTCCAGAGTGCTGGAGGTAAGACATGAGCCACCATGCCTGGCCAGCTCTTTCTCACCATTAGCTTCTTGCTTTGGTGACTAGGCCTGTGGGAAGGGCCAGTGCAGTGCCTGACCTAGGGCTGTTGCTCCTTGGCTGGTAGGTGTCGCACATAGAGAACAAGGCTTGACCCTCTTGCTCCAGTCTTGCCTGCAGCTCCTTGATGCACTGCCTAAGTTGGACTTTGCTCCCCTGACTTCGCTAGCTTTGCTTTTCCTCTTGGCCCTGCTTTACATCCCCTGGGACCATTTTCTTCCCCTTCGCATTTCCCCTCACTCTGGTTCACAGCTGTTGTAGCACAGGGTGCTAATGGCCCAGGCTCCCTGAGGCCACCAACCCATCATACGTGGCAGTGGTGTGGGGGGGTTGCCTGGGTTGGAGGATGGAGGAATGCGAGTGACAGACAGGAAGGGAAATGACAGACAGGAAGGGAAATGCGCTGAGCTCTGGGATCCCCTCCCTTTCCACCCCCTGCTGCCTGTTTCCTCCCTCATTCCCCCCTAGCCTCTCCTGGCTTCCTGCTCTCTGTGGCCTGCCCATGTCCGGTTTGGAGAGATCTAGACCTTCCCTTATCTCCTTCCTTTCTTTCCTACTGCTCCATCCTTCCCTCCCACCCCCACTTTCCTGCTCCCCAGATTACTAGTTGTTTATGTAGAGCAGGGGAAAGGGGCACAGCCAAGTCTGCCCCTGCTAGAGTTGGAGGTTTGGGCAGCGAGCAGTAGCAAGGGCTCAGCCCCTCTGAGCCTGTGAGTCAGCACTGTCCTTGGGATTGGTCTCTCCTTTTCGATCCCCGCCCTTGGGGAGGAGCCAGGCAGCTCTGGGTCCAGCCTGTTCTCTTCTCAGCCAGAGAAGAGGCTCCACGCTGGGCAGGAATGGGGTGTGAAACTGTCTGGGTCTGACCTGGGGGAGCGGAAGCCACTGGTCTTTTTCCCTTCCCAAGACCTCTGTGACTCCTGGGCTGCAGAGGTCCGGCCAGGCTAAGGGCCGGGGATGCCCCCTGCCTGGCCCCCTTGCCAGAACTGGCAGGGGGGCCGGGCTGGGCAGCAGCCCCAGTCTCATCCCAGTCATGGATCTCCTACCTCCCAAGCCCAAGTACAACCCACTTCGGAATGAGTCTCTGTCATCGCTGGAGGAGGGGGCTTCGGGGTCCAGCCCACCGGAGGAGCTGCCTTCTCCGTCAGCCTCGTCCCTGGGGCCCATCCTGCCTCCTTTGCCTGGGGACGATAGTCCCACCACCCTGTGCTCCTTCTTTCCCCGGATGAGCAACCTGAAGCTGGCCAACCCGGCTGGGGGGCGCCTGGGGCCTAAGGGGGAGCCAGGAAGGGCAGCCGAGGATGGGGAGGGGATCGCAGGGACAGCTGTGCTGGACTCAGGCCCCCTGCCCCTCCTCCAGGACATGAACAAGCTGAGTGGAGGCGGCGGGCGCAGGACTCGGGTGGAAGGGGGCCAGCTGGGGGGCGAGGAGTGGACCCGACACGGGAGCTTTGTCAATAAGCCCACGAGGGGCTGGCTACATCCCAACGACAAAGTCATGGGACCCGGGGTTTCCTACTTGGTTCGGGTGAGTGAATATCCTCCTCCCTCCTGCTCCATCCCACACCCCCTCTAGTTCCTCTGTTTGCTCCAGCTTTGCTGGGATCTCTTCTTGTGCTTCCCTCACAACCCCTCTGTACTTCTGCTCCTTTTCCAATTCTGCGCTCTGTCCTTTCCAGGCTGGGAAAATTTCTGCCTGGGTCCCTTTCCTTTCTCTGGGATCCCTCCCCCCAATGTAGCGCAATGCCTGGCACATCTGAGGCTCTTAGTGTTGGAATGAGTGACTTCTTGATTCTCCTCTCTAGACTTTTCCCCTTTTCCAGAGGTGTCCCTCCACTCCCCCAATGTCTCTTACTCCCCTCCAAATTCTCCTGGGTGCATGAGGTCCTCCCAGTTTTCCCTTTCTCTCTCATTCCCTGGTGTCTTGCATGTGCAAGGATGTAGCCATGGCAGGGGGTCTTTCCTTCCCTCTGGGACCACCCAGGGAAAAGTCCTAGGGCCCTCTCTGATGAGGGGGAGAGGCAGCTGACCTGTTGTCCCCACCCCTCCCTCAGTACATGGGCTGTGTGGAGGTTCTGCAGTCAATGCGTGCCCTTGACTTCAATACCCGGACTCAGGTCACCAGGTTAGTGGGCATGGGGTGGACTGTGTGAGGCACGGGAAGGGGGAGAGGGAAGTGGGGCACTTGGTGGTGATGCTAGGGGTGGCTTCTTTGGGGTGTTAAAGAGGATTCCGAGAAAGTTAGAGGAGTCAGTCTAAGGCTGAATGGAAAGAGGCGACTGTCTCTGAGATGCCTGACCCATAGGTGTGAGGAAGGTGGCAGAAGCAGCTGC